TCCGCATCTTCAGCAGCTCACCTGGCCTAGTGATCGCGTAAAAAGTGCAGAGCGTAACCGCTGCCCATCTTTTCCAGCCCAGAGACCAAGCCAAACAGACCAGTGCCTTTAAGACGATCTCGGGTAGGGGAGTACGGTGGCAGACCGGCTGCAACTCCTCCCATCGGCTGACCATCTCCCAGGCAGGTCTTAAGTGAGGCCTGAGCAACGGCAGGATCTTCTGGCTGTGGGCCAAAAGCTGCCTGCACGCACCCAGAAAGGCTCCTGTTTTGTAGAGCTCGTCGGCGTAGTCCCGGAGAACCAAGGCTAAAAGGGGAGCGCAGCTGAAAAGCGAGAGGATGGCGGAGTGAGATAACTTCTCACGGAGCCAGCCCACCAACGCGTCCCAAATCCTTGTCCGCAAAGCTATCGTCCTCTGCTCCACCAACTCGACGTCAAAGAGGGAGCCGAGGCGGCCTGTTCTGTGTCGGGAAGGTCCAAGGTTTTTTGCCTCGCCGATCCTGTCGCTGTCATCGCGCACGCAGCTGCTGACCGAGCGGGCCCCGAAAGGAGCGGACGCCCAAAGTGCAGCAGCCAAGCAGGCTCCCGGTGGAAGGCTGCTAGCAGCGGAGGTCCAGCTGACACCACCTGGTCCGGCACCCTGCCGCTCTGTCCTCGAAATTAAAGAACTGCCCAATCTCCCGGGCTACAGCCCAACGCTCGGTCTCGCTGATGGCAGAGCTCGAGCGAGAGCTCTCGGAATGCAAATGGAGAGCAGGAGCGGCCGGGAGAGGAGAAGAAGAGCCCGAAGCTCGTGGCACAGAACCGGAAGAGCACGGGCGTGCCGAAGGCGAGGCCCTAGTGACCTGAGGCGATGCACGGGAGCTCTGGCTCTCAAGGCCTGAGCTGGCGGCCGGGGCCACTGCAAGGGGTACAAAGGGAGAGGCTGAGCTACGGCTGGGTTCGGGATTAGGGCTTACCCTGGGAAAAGGCCGGGACTAAACCCCAACGAACCCCTAGGGGAAAGGTCACCGGCAGCCGAAAGAGGAGCAAAGCTGACCCTCTCGAAATCCAAATCCAGGCGATCGAGGGTTTCGCAAACACGCTGAAGTAAGCGGCCTTGGAGCTGCACCTCCCGGCCGAGATCCTCTACGGCGATCCTCAGCTGACGGAGTTCAGAAGAGGAATCTCTTCCGCTCATGAAAGAACTCTGAAGAGAGCTCCGGTCTGCCTGCCAGGCTGAAGCACACGCACACGAACGAAGTTACCCCAACTAACCCTGATTATGCAAAGGATATCCACGAGAGGCCCAAGGAGGACTCCCAGCAGCAAGCCCCAAACAAAGCTGGGTACGTGAAGCTTTTCCACCACCACCGGAAGAGCCGGACAAAGAGGGCACTCCTGAAAAAGGTCAGGCCCCTGTCCTGTCAGAAGTTCCTCAGCAGCTCGGAGCGCAATTGAGGCCAGAGACCCTCCTACCAAGGAAAGCTGAAGGGGGCGGCCAAGGGCCATCACTTGACCCGACAAACTGCACATCCGCATGAAGTCATGCTGAAGACATGACTAGATCTGCCTTTGTATGTATGTGTGTGAAAGTGTTTATGCAGAAATACACACAGACTCTCTCTCTTTCTTTCTTTCTGCAGGGCTTAAGGGTCGCGCGAGCGCCCCCAGGCTTTCGGCCCGCCCAGCCACACCCTGTGTTTATGGAGTGGCTGGTAAAGGGGTCTTTCCAGATTAGGCAACGAATCACCCAGTTTGTTCAGGGTTTTTGCGCAAAAGAGCCCCCCCGAACACTAAACGCCAAAACAACCCCGGCCTCGTCTCCGCGCCCCTATGGCTGAAAGTCCTTAGCCCTTAGTAGGTTCGAGGGGGCATGAAAAAAGCCGGATGAATTGATCCCCCCTTGCTCTCACACAGCAAGGGTGGCTGTCGAATTATTGTAGGAGGGCGGATCGGACTTCGTCAGGCGACGGTAGTGCAGCGAATTGTGCAAAGGCGGAAAGAGTTCGCCAAATCATGGCAGGGTTCTGCAGAGCAGCCTAAATGGACAGGTATGTTACAGAGAAAACGTGCCAACATGCATTCCCCCGGCTGGGTTCACGAAAAAGGAGAAATCCCCCACTAAGTCGAGGAGAAGGGAGGGCCTGCTCTCAGCAACGGAAACACCAAAACGCACCCCCGAAACCCGAAACCGAAACACAACACCCCACAGCATCAGCGTCTCTCCTCTCCCCTCTGGTACTGGGCACAGTCACGCAGGTCCCCCTCTTTTGAAGAACGCAAGCTGCGTCACTTGTTCGAAAAGAAGTGGAAAATTCCCCTCGCTCATTGCTTGTAGTTCACGGTGCGCCTCTCATGTGTGCCTGGACCCGCCGTATCGCCTCCCACATCGGGCCTGGCTGGAGTCTCACTGTCCTCCGCGGGCTGCGGCTTGGGGTCCTTGGTCGTTCCCCTCCGGCCGAGGAGCTGGCTTCTCCCCCGGCTGGTTCATAAGTGGGTCGAGGCGTCCTCCTCCATGGTGGTTCGCCTGCAGGTTCGTTCGGCTTGTGCCACCCCGGAACCTGGGGCAGCTCGCTGGAGCTTTCCGCCCCCTCGTCGGTGCTGCTGTCCTCGTCGTCCGTATTCCCCCAGTCCACTTCATCACTGAACTCGGGTTGTGGTGGTACTTGGTCTCGCGGCTGCTGTGGTGGAGCTCGGTCTTGTGCTGCATCTGTGGCCTTTGCCGTGGTGCTCGAGGCATGGCTTGACGCCCCCTCCTTTTCCGCATCCCCCGGCTTGCTGCTCGGACTCTTGTTCGTCCTCCCCTCCTTTTTCGCAGTCTTTGGGTCCTCTGGTTGCCTCGGCCGTCTCTTTCTGGCTGGTCTTGTTGTTGTACTCCCCCGTGGCGAAGCTTTCTTTTGCCGTGCCCTGATCGCACGGCGTATGCGGCGGGCTTGGCGCAGCAGGCTTTTGATCGCCCCTGGAAAGCGGATCATGTAGGCACGCGTTTCCTGGGCGACCTCCGGGAGGTACTTGTCTGCTATCTTCGCCAGCTTGTCTGCTTGCTGGGCTGTGCGGCATCTGGCTTGGTGCCTCTTGTAGAACTGGTCGTACTCATCGTTCTCCCCTCGTGTTACGGGTTGCCCAGAAGGGCTGTGGCACCATCCCCCCCCATCTGGGTTCCGAACCACTTCTTGCTTCGTCCATTTGTCCAGCGGTCCTGGAAGGTAATGCAGGGCAATCCCCCCAGGAGTCATGTAGGCTGTCATGTGCTCGAAGGGTACCTGTGTATGTCTGCCGCTTCCCCCGTCGCTCTGCTGTGACTGGCTTGTTGTGGTTCTGTCGTGGGACAACACGAGACGCGTGTTCCCCAAAGCTTCCGATCCGAAGGAACGGCATTGAGAGTCGGATCGCTCATGCACCTTACGCGTGCCTGGACGACAGATCCCTCCCCCTTCTCTGCAGATTCTGCAGATCTTCTTGCCTCCTCCCCCACGCTTTTCCATGATCTTCACTATCTTCTCGGCCTTGCCACAGTCACGACCTTCCAGTTGAAGCAGTCCCCCGCCCAACGTAGAGGAAGTGCTTGCGAAACTTGGTGGAGGCGTCCCCACAGTCGTTGGTGCAGTTGGCGTCCCCCTCCGACACTAGAGCGTCCAAGAAGAAGGTCTTGCAGTCACCAGCTTATCGTCGTGCGGAAAGTGTCACGATCGTGCCGTTGTCCTTTATGGCTCGCGCCCCCTAGCGGCACTCGCTTAAGCAACACAGCGTCGGGTATGCGACTCAAGCACCGCGTGGGGAAAGTGCGCAGGCTCCCCCAAGGTGGACAGCCTTGGGTTAACCCCGCACCTCCCCCCCGATGCAAAGAGGCGGCACAGGCCTCTAAGCAAAGGTGCAGTACTTGAGCCAAAATGGCTAGAGTCTAGAGTCTCTCTTTCTCTCTCTCTCTTTCTTTCAGAAGGCTGAAGGCTAAAGGGAGGGGGTGCAACCCCTACCCCCGCGCTCAAGGCCTATATCTTCGGCTTAGGATCTCTCTTTCTCTCTCCCTCTCTTTCACTCTCTCTGCGTGTATACATACAAAATGTATTTGCCCGAAGAAACGCCGCGGGAGCCGGGTATCACCCCAACCACACAAGCACCAAAATGACTGATTGCCTGTCTGCCTAAGTGCACGGCCCTGCAACTCGCAGCCCTCCTGTGAACTCGGACCTTGAAACTTCAGCCCAAGCTTGAGCCCGGGCCATAGTTCCTCTCAGAGCCAACTTCGAGGAAGTATGCTTTCAGTCCAGTAAGCAAAAGGCTGTATCCCAACCTCTGAGCCTGAGAACCCCGAAGGCTTGCACTCAAATAACGCCACGACGACAGCCCTGAACTCAAACAAATGCGCCTGTTTGGGATCGAACCATCCTTCCGCGAAGTCCACCAACGCCTTCACCTTCGGCAAAGCCGAGGTCAAGGCTAAGCACCAAACAAAGAAAGACGAGAGCATACCTTCAACCTGCCCGCATGTGCCCGCCATGCCCACCACATGAACATGGGCAGGGCATGGTTAGGCTTCCAGATTCCAGGACTCTTGCACAAGTCTGGGCTTTGCCTCGATAACCAAATATTGGGGATTGCAGTTAACCCTGGTGAGACAGGCGTGATCGAAGACTGCGGGCTTCTTGGCATGACCTCTGGCTTTGCAGCCCAAAGGACCCAGGTTCCCAGATCCCAATGCCAATGCCTCAAAATCTTGAACCTCAAACCTTGCACAGAGTCGAGAGCCCGACGATCGGCATCCCTGCGGCGCGGCCTGGCGCAGAGGCTTCTGGCTCGGGCCGGTGGATTGAGGCTCCCTCGATGCGTTGGAGCGGTGCACTCCCCCTGCCTCCCTGTCCCTGCTCCAGTTTGGAGTGGACGGAAGGCGCAGCTGACTCGAGCCGTACATGGCGGCAGCGACGATTGTCGGATGATTGCGAGCTTTTCAGGGCTCCAGAACACACCCCATGACAACCACGAGTGTCCAACGCCCGAAGCTGCAACGCCGGGTGCGCTGCAAGGATTCCCGGAGGAGAATGAGACGCCGTGGTCCGAATAGTCCTAACACCAGGCACATGCATCAGAAGTTCGAAGGAGAGACGTCGGGGGCGGCATGCCTTCTTGAAGATGCCCTCTGAGGCATAGGTCTTCTTGTAACCTCAAGCCGCAAGCTGAAGTCACGAGTTAACACAACGATTACAGGCCCGTGGCCACCTACGGCCCCCCAGCACTGAGCACCCCAAGAAAGCAGCCCGGGTGTCAGGCCACTGGCGGAGATCACCTGCTGTGTGGCCACATTGAGGGCGTAGAAAGTGAGGTTCACACGCGGGAGGGACACCTGGCAGTGCGAAATACTTGGGGAGGCTCCAGGAGCTCAAAGACGACGTCGCGGCATCGAAACTGCTGGGGCCCTGGGCTGAGAGACCCTGTTTTGGCCGGTCTTCAGGGACGAGGAATTCCGGATTTTGGATCTCAAGCTTCGGCCGTCGGCCGAAAATCAACAGATGCTCCAAGATAAGACCAGGAGAAACACAACCTTGCGAAAAGCGCTGAAGCCATAGCCTCCTCCTGCGTCTCCGCATCGACAAAGGAGTATTTGAGCTCCACGGAAGAGCCGGACCTCGGTGGGCTTTGCCAAGCTGCTATGAGCGTCAAGCAGTCTGCGTCGGTACCGATTTCCCATTTCACAGCTTCTGCAGTGTGGGTGTCAGCGGGGATGTCGGATGCGCAGACTAGCTCGCACTGCCCCACACCAGACCCTGGTTTGTCTAGGAGAGAACCGCTGGGTCGCAGGCATCAGGTTGATTCGGCCCAAGTACTCGTCTGTGGCAGCCTTGATAAACATGTGGCATCAAAAAGCCGAAAGCCTCCATTGCCAGGCAACCCGAGCTATGAAATCGCTCTGTCCACCAACCCGAAACCCGTCTCTAGTACGTAAGTTGATTTAATTATTAGGCCCTCAAGCCTCAAGCTGTGCACTGAGCCCAAGTTAATCTTCCTTCATGCTTCGTTGCACGTCTCAGATTTACAGCTCACAGTCTCTCAATTTAAATAGATTCGAGCTTCTTGGGATTGCCGGACGACTACTGTCAAGAGAACCATCCTCCCTTCTCAGCCCAACACCCCATTCTGGGCCACATTCTGTGGGTCGTAGGAGCCGTCGGCAGCTGCACAGGTGGTGACATGGGGCACGAAAGCCGCTTTCGGACTTGGGGCTTGTTTCTTGGCCTTGAGCACGGAAGACAGTGTGCGACTTATGTCTTCCGCCTCACTTCGGGGAAATCCGGTCATACGTTCTTTTCGACGGTGTCAATTCACAAATTTGGGCTGGGTTCCCGGGTTCATTTCGAGTGGTTTGCGCGCATGTCGCCTGAAAGTCAGTTGGCAGTGCCGAGGCCCGCGTCAACCCACGCCTGAAAGCGTCGAGCCGACTCCAGAGCACCCAAGGCTTCCTTCCAAAAAGCCACAGAATCCCGCTGATACGCAAGGCCTGCCTAGTTTCAGCTGTAGCTTCCTTCCCCGGTAGTACGCGACCTGTCAAGCTGCACAAGCGCACATCGGGGCTGCGAAGCAGTTCGGGGCTGGAGTCCCTAAAGAAGAGATGCGAGTTGCTGTAAGCCCTAAGCCCTAGGCTTGGCAGGATCTCAGACTTCGGGTTGCCAAGTCTGGCCGTCTCTTCGAGCCGAGACTTCAGATCTTCCGCCCTCCTGAGACGTGAGTTCTTGGGCGGCGAAGGCAGCGCGGGTCTCTTGTCTGAGTCTTGCTGCCTCAAGAAGAGGTGATCAAAGATGCAGACCTGGGGTCGGAACCCAAATGCCCTCGGAACAAGGAATCCTATCCTGCTCCGAAAGCTGCCGATGCCTCGCCGAAGACGAGGCTTTCTTCGCCGCTAGAGTCCGGGCCTAGTCGTCGGCAATTTCAAGGAATGCCCCGAGTCTCATCGGCATCTTTGGGTGTGGTTCTGGCTCTAGTCATCAGGCCGACACAGCATGTGGCACAGGTACTACGTTTACAACATGGTAGCCATCCAGGGCACCATCGCCACCGACAACAAGAGAGAGCGAAACAACAGCAAATTAAATACAGAAACGCGCCGAAGCAGTCCCGAGTCGGTTGAGGTCTCAGCCTACCTTACGACGCTTGGCCTTGGCCTTTCTTCCAAACTTAGCCAGACAGAAAACCCTTCCGGAAGCGGCAGGAGATCTGCAGCAGGAGCTCCCCGAGCCCGGCGCCGGCCCCTGCCAGGTTGCTGTTTTCCACCTGACGGGACGCGCCGCCCGGGGCGGTTCTGGTGACCAGCTTCAGCTCACAAACGCAAAGCCGCTCAGGTTTGATGGGAACACGTGGGTAGGGCTTCTTTCGGACGAAGGTCATCTGGAGGAAGCCGTGCCGTCTTCATGTAGCTAGGGGCAGAGTGCTCAACTCGCCGATGATGCACATCAGAAACTCCTTCCTCGTGAAGCGCACCCGTGGCACGCACCACGCAGCTGAAGGTCGAAACACAATGTCTGAGAAATCTTCGGGAGAGCAAGGGGCGGCCTGAATCAACGGAGTTACGACAAGTAGTAGATGGCAACAGTTGGTTGTTCTGACCTGCGCACCTCCCCTGCGGGCCTAAATCGAACCCTCACTTCCTTTCAGCAAACGCAAGCTTTTGCAAGCCGGGCCTGGTTTAGGAGTAGTTTCTGAACGCCGTCCTCGCACCTAGCTGGGACAGGGACTCAGGGTTACATGGCGTTGGAGTGGAGCCACATGACTCCCGACGGCAGCGGCCCTCAACTCCATACAGCTCGGAGAGAGATAGAGAGAGCGAGAGCGAGACAGACTCGGAAGGAACGCACGAAAAAGAATGCAACTCAATTAAGAGACGGGCTGCATGTCGCCTGACCGCCTGTCGGCCTTGCGGCCCCTCATGCCACCGTGCCACCGTGATCATGGAGGCGCAAGAAACAGACAGAGAGCGAGAGTGTGTGTGCTTGTGTGTCGGCATGCCTACACGTGTCCATGTTATCAAAATATGTATGTATGAAGGCATATAAATACAGTCACATTTACACGCAGAGATGTGTGTGTGTGTAAACCTATTTACTTATCTATCTATCCATCTATCTATCGATCTGTCAGTGTGTGTGTGTGTGTGTGTGCAGCTAGGTATCTTTGCAGGACTCCGGCTAACCGGCAACTAGCAGGCAGAAAGACTTATGTACTTACAACATGCCCTCCAGGATGGGCTTGCGATGTCCGAGACACAGCTCCACTCCATTTTGCAAAACCCAAACTTTCAGGAATTCCTTTCACAGGATTCAAACTTTTCCGGGGAGTCGTTTCACATCTTGTCGGCGGGAAACCCCATGAGGTCTAATGAGTCTCAACGATCAAAGACCGCCCCGAAAACACGCGTGCAAATCACAGGCTCCACGCGATTCGTTGATGCCCGGGTCCCCGCACTCGCCGCTGACGCGCGCGACGAGTGCCAGTGAAGTCAGGAGCAGCAGCGGCACCTCAGGTTCGGTTGAGGTTGATCTACCGCTTCGACTAGAGGACCAAGACGAAACAAAACCCTGAAGCCATGCTGGCTTGCTCACGATGGAAGGGTTCAGTCACATAGAAAGGCGGCATCCGACGACAAACTCAGGCCACCGCCCCCATGGCGAGGGGCCTTCGCAGACTGGAATTGAGGCAGCGTTTGGGCTTTCCGTGCTTTTGTATCCGGATGGCAACCCTTTCTGCATATGGGCACAGCGATGTACGCTGCGTCAGTTCGTTTCGACATCATGCAAAGCCAGCATACCCGGAGACATCCATTGTGCGGCCACCACCAGATACGTTGAAACATCAGCAAAGGACAAACTCCGGCTGGTTAGATCAAAACTCACGAAAGGGTAAAGCTCTGCTATGCAAAACTGACCCTTTTTCTTCCGCCAGCTTGGCCGGTGGAGTTGCTGCAACCGCCGTACCAGACGGGGCGGTGGGGGCGTCGCCGCCATGGCGAGGCCAAAAGGCTGGACCTCCGTGTGCTTGGGCCACCCTGGTAGAGGCGTCACTGGGCACATTGCGCCAGAGCAGGGCTGATCCCTTCGCAGCTTGTTACCATGTTACCACAGCCTTGTCAACAAAACAAGACTTCAGGCCAGCGCACAAGCCGCATGAGAAAGGGAGTCGAAGACGACAGATCTTGAGAAAGTGTGCAGTGTAGGAGTTGCAGCCAATGCGGCTACAGGAGCTTAGTGACCATGAAACGGCGTCGCTGGGATGCATCAGAAGGACTGCGTTGGGTTATGACAGTGTGAAGCGACGAAACGCCCGTTGCATTTCAATTAATGGAATGCAGAAGGGACACGGTTTTTTCCCCCCTCGTATGCCTGTACCTTAGGAAGTTCCAGCTTCCCATTTGACGAACGTGTTTAAGGGCCAGTATTGCCCACAGAATAACACCAGCTGGTTGATTAATGGAATGCAGTGCAAGAGTGCCGACACTAAAGCATGCGCAAGAGATACCTTGACAGAGACGAAGGGAAACTTGCACGACGAGAGACAGAAGACAGAAGAACGCCAGAGATCAAACCGCCAGAAGCGTCCAAAATAAGTGCGAAGATTCCTGCGGTGCCTCTGCCGCACCGTTGCTCGCGTCTGGTCACGCGGCGCGGCCTTTGCGCGCAGCCCCTTCCTATGCTCGAGCCGGGAAGGCGCGGCAAGAAAAATCTATGATCTCCATGTAACATAAAAACATCCTCTACCTTCGGTGTGGCATTGGGCGAAGTCCCGTCTGTGCTGGAACAACTCTCCTTCAAGGCTCCTTTTTGATGGTTTCTTCCCGTGCGCATGCCGTCAGGTCTTCGGCTGCCAGCGCCTCCGGACCTGCGAGGGGCCTGACACACACGAATTGAGACAAGCAGAGCTGTTTGAGTCTGGGGATGAACTTCCCAACCGCGGCTCTCAGAGTCTCCGCATCCCCAACCGCCAGTTTGCCTGCATCTTCGCCAGCTGGCTGCCAGCCTCCAGGCAATGTTGGGGCATTGGATTTTGGGCCGGGTGGGATGGACGTGCTTCTTGGTGTTCACATGTGTTCACTTCTAGCAGAGGATGAAACCATCCAGGAATTTCCTAGCTTGGCACCGGCCCTGGATCAGGAGTCCGGGAGAATTCAAGCGAAGAAGAAGCCGGAAGCGGTAAACCTAGCCTCAGCCTCCCCAGCAGGTTCTTGGGATCGGGGTCAGTTCACAAGGTGTGGAGCAGAGCCAGGGGCCAGGATACCCGTCGAAATACTACAGTTTCAAAGATTTCTGCCCATGGCACCTGCTCACTGCATACGGGAGCTGAAAAATTGTCAGACTCTGGCCCTTTAGGTGCCTTCAAAAGGAAACTGCTTTGTCGAACATGCTTGGCCTGAAGGCTGTTGGGCTTGGTGCTGGTAGGAAATCACAGCCCTGCACAAACACATCACTTCGAGCTGGCGACGCGGCCGAAACCCTCAAAACCGAAATCTTGAATTTCGGTCGCAGTTGGAGTATCAAGCCCGTTTTCCCCTGCGCCTTCTGCAGCCTTGCCGCCCTTGGTTTTGCCCTTCTCCTTGCCTTTGCCGTCCTGCTCGTGCTTGAAGGTTCGGGCCTTGTGCACCCATGTCTCTGCCCACCAACAAGCCTCCAATCCGGACGACCCTTTATCCGAAGTTGGTCTCGCGGGTCTTACATCGCTAAGTTCCTGGAGGCTCTTCATCCCCACCACAGCCACACCTACCACCAATTCCAGCAAAGGGACCAAAACCGTCGTCATCGCCATCATCACCATCACCATAATCGTCATCAGCGTCGCTATCATCGTCATGAGCATCGTCATGATCATCGC